ATTACAACCTTAATCTCAACTAGTCTGGGGTTGGCCAGTATTGTTTTAAACCAAGACGTTTCACACCCAGGTGGCTAGCCCAAGTAGCAACCGTGTAGAACATCATATTTACTTATCCATGTAAAGTTCATATGACGATGGGGCAGAGTTGGAACGTTCCCTTCTAAGGAACTGGCTTTGACACTGGAATTGATTGTCTTTGAAGGGATTTCCAAAGGAGTGTTTCTTCAACATACTTTTTACCAGGATCTGTAAAAAGAAAAAAGAAAACTCAAGTCTCATCTTACTTTAAAAACTACCTATCTCTCGGGTGTTCCTAAGCATCTCAGTATTGTTTTACCCTAAAACTACCTATCTCTCGGGTGTTCCTAAGCATCTCAGTATTGTTTTACCCTAAAACTACCCATATCTCGGGTGTTCCTAAGCATCTCAGTATTGTTTAATCCTAAAACTACCTATCTCTCGGGTGTTCCTAAGCATCTCAGTATTGTTTTACCCTAAAACTACCTATCTCTCGGGTGTTCCTAAGCATCTCAGTATTGTTTTACCCTAAAACTACCTATCTCTCGGGTGTTCCTAAGCATCTCACTATTGTTTTACCCTTAGTTAATTTTACTCATTTATTATTTAGTTTTGTCTTATTATTACACAAACAATCAACAATTAAAATCATTTTGAAACAGAAGAAAATTATACATATAAGGTTTAGACTGTGTATCTGTAATGTCTGACAATGTCTCTTTTATGGGTAGCCACAGGTGATTCATCTCAATACGGATAATTTCCATTTACCATCTTTTTGGTCTGTAGTAGGTAGGAATATGACTGTACGATCTTATTGGACCTCAGAGAGCACATATTACTTCCTTTTAACAGGTTGGTTATGGGTTGAAAGGATGTGTTCATTATGTATTTTTTACTTTCAATTTCATGTATCTTGTGCTGAGATTTTCCATAATTGCTTTAAATTTACTTCATAGTTTCCAGAGTGTCAAAAGTTTTTGTGATGCAGTGATAATTTTTGTGTAATTATAAAAGCATCTATTGCAAAGTTTCCTGTAAAAGGTGTGTATCTGTTGTCTTAATATGTTAATTGCTCCACAGATTTTTTGTACTGATACAACAGAAACACCTTGTCTTAACATGTTAACTGCTCCACAGATTCTGCAAATCGAGACAGCACTCATTCTTCCTGTTCCTAAAGTCCAAAATTCTATGAACAATCCATTTCAGGACTACACACCTAAAGATGGCAAAAACTCAAACACAGTGTTTCGTTTAGCTAAAAGTTATATTATTTTTAAGATTATTAAACATAGAATAAAATAATGTTTGGAGATGGCTTGAATGGGTAATTAAGAAAAACTTTAATACAAGAACATCCACCTGTATTTTAATGTTCTAGGCTGCTTACATGTTTTTTTTTCTTCTGCTTGTACTCTTATTATAAACATGTGGTATAATTAAAACTGTCCTGAGGTATCATTGCTATCAAGTTAATGAAGCTTTTGTATTTCTCTCTCTGTTGGATCGAGTCTGTTAAATATACTGATTTAATAGATAAGTAAACATTTAACATGTCTCGATAGATTTTAGTTATCATCTCACAGGTGAAAAAGGTAGTTACATTAGGACAGTTTTGGTGAGTTATTACTAAACTGAGTAAAAATAGTGGCTTTGCCATGTTAACTAACTATTTTATTCTCTTTCGATGACAAGAACCTACTTTGAGACTAATAATACTTGTACATTTGCTGTTATGTTAAAACCAAGAGATGGAGACCTTACTATCTAACTTGCCACATTACTAAGCTAAGGGTGGGTTGAAACCAAGAGATGGAGACCTTACTATCTAACTTGCCACATTACTAAGCTAAGGGTGGGTTGAAACCAAGAGATGGAGACCTTACTATCTAACTTGCCACATTACTAAGCTAAGGGTGGGTTGAAACCAAGAGATGGAGACCCAAATATCTAATATGCCACATTACTAAGCTAAAGATGGATTGTAACCAAGAGATGGAAAGCCAATTAGACTTACCACACTATTAAGCTAAGGGTAGATTGTAACCAAGAGATGGAGAGCCAACCAGACTTACCACATTGTTAAGCTAAGGGTGTATTGTAAAGAAGAGACAGAAATCCTTCCATTAAACGTGACACACTACTGAACTATGAGTACACACCATATAATAATTAAAAAAATACAACTTACAAGAGTATCGAGTTTAGGAACTGACCACACACACTGGTCAATCTCTTCTTGTGTAACTTCAATAAGTACACAGTTTCCTTCCTCAGTGAGAAGAGGATAGGTATTGAATTTTGTAACCCATGAATGGGCCTAGAAAAATCAGAAATGGTTACTTTAAATATTGTGCAATAATTCATATAATACAGAGCATTACAACTACTGTTATAAAACATAAGTGATACTGTTATTATATACTATTAGTTCTATAGTATTATATTATTATTAATGATATTATAGTAGGTAAGTCACTGCTGCATACTTTCCTGATGTACTGCATACACAATGCTTTTTTATTTGCATATTTTACTAATACATTTCATTGCTGCAAGATCACATAAGTTGCTGCCACATACTTTACTGATATACTACATACATGAGGTAAGTTATGTCAGCTAGAGTTAAGATAATGTAGCGAACACTGGAGTGTAAACATATTTTATGGAGAGAAACAGCCAGTATCCAGTAAAATTCTTTAATTCCTCATCGTTTCACCTTATGGCTTCCTCCTCGAGGTGGATTCCTGTACATGGTAAGGAGACCTCCCAGGGAAGGTACTGGATTTTCAGTTACCTCCTCTGGGATCTAAATTTCCACCCAAAAGTTTGCCATGTGTGGCAACCGTGAAGGGGAGGAAAGGATCCTGGTGGTTGAGTGGTGTCTGGAGCACTGCAACACACCACTTCTTTGGCTCAAGATGCAGAACGATTATTCGTTCATGCCCTCAGTCGCTGGAATCTCAGTCTAATGCCAGAGATCTGCCTACTCGAACAAGGGCAGGATCCATGGAGGTCGACAGACCTGCTTCTAGTAAAGAAAAACAGCGTGGTCATAAACAGAAGGGTTTTCCACCAAGTTCTCATCCACCTATGTAAAAATGGCCACTTTGATACAGTGAAACTGTCGAGGTTTTCGTTATGATCTGGATGACATTAAGGCCTCGATCGATTCCTATCTTCCTGTGTGTCTTTCCTTACAGGAAACATTCCTGAAACATGTTGATGCAGTCACCTTTTAGCAATTTTCTTTATACCGGCATGACAGGTTGTATAATGGACAAGTGCATGGAGGGGTGGCACTGTTGGTCGACCAGCACATGCCCACCTTGTCTGTGTCACTCAATAAATTCTTGGAGGCCGTAGCCATCCATGTTTCCTTGGGTCGTACCATCACTGTCTGTTCTCTGTACCTGTCTCAATCAGACCTTGATGCTCTTGTTGAACAGTTGCCATCTCCCTCTTTAATCCTGGGAGACTTTAATGGACACCAGCCCCTCTGGGAATGCTGCTTATATTGATGGGAGGGGTCATTCCATAGAGCATATGCTCTTAGATCACAACCTTTCTTTCTTTCTTCAATACTGGATATGTACTTATTTTCATGCACTCAGTCTTTTATCACCATTGATCTCTATCTGCTCCCCTTCACTTTTCTCCCGCTTTTCTTGAAGGATTGACAGTGACCCATGGGGCAGTGGTAATTTTCCTATTGTTTTGAGGGAGATTGACCATGGTCGATATCACCCGACCCACATGCTATGGTGAAAGTTGGACCAGGGCAACTGGTTCTTTTGCACTGCTCTCTCAGAACTTGATCCTGCCCTCGTCTGTCTGCCATCAATAGAAGACTGCGTGGTAGCAGTGACTGACTTATTGTCCAGGCAGCTGCTCACTCTATTCCCAAGACCTCAACATATTTTCCACAGTATCCTCGCTCTGGTGGAGTACTGCCTGCCAGGAAGCATGGAAGGCTCAAAAACGGGCCTGGGATACCTTTTGCAGGTATCTCACTCTTTTGAACTGCATTGCTTTTTGGCCAAAAGGAATATTGGATTAAGTTTACAACTAGCATCTTTTCTACTACCAGTTCCAAAATCATATTGGACAAGAATCAGAAGGTCTATGGAAGGTATGCTTCTCATCCCCTTTCCAATAGCCGGGAAGTTGCTGATGTCCAGAGCATCACTGATACTATTGGCAAAAGCTTTTCTCGTGCATCTAGCACTTCTGTTTCTTGGCCATCAAGTCTCGGGCAAAGCGATCGCTTCTTTCCTTTCAGGCCGATCGTTTCTATGACTATAATCGCTCCTTTACACTGGTGGAACTGAACCTTGCTCTTCATCGGTCTGGCACTACATCAGTCAGACCTGATGATGTTCACTATGAGATGCTGCACCATCTCTCGCCTGCCTCTCTTGCTATTCTTCTGGTTGCTTTTAACTATATCTGGCAGGAGAATGTTTTTCCTGATGCTTGGTGCCAGGCTATTATCATCCCCTTCTCTAAATCTGGGAAGGATCCCAAGATTCCTTCTAATTATCATCCAATTGCTTTGACTAGCTGTCTCTGTAAGGTCTTAGAGAGGATGGTTAATGCTTGTCTAGTTTGGTTCCTCAAATCAAACAACCTCCTCTCACCCACCCAGTGTGGGTTCTGTTGACAGCGCTCCACCATGGACCACTTGATTCGACTTGAAATTTCGATCAGGGAAGCCTTCCTCAAGAAGGACCATCTTGTTTCCATGTTCTTTGACCTTAAGAAAGCTTACGGCACCATGTGGAGGTATGGAATTTTGAGGGACTTCTACTTATATGAGTTTCGTAGCCATTTACCCGTTTTTGTTCAGAACATTTTACAGGACAGCCAATTCCAAGTTTGTGTGGGTTTGACTCTTTCCCGTTTTTTCCACAGGAACTTGGAATCCCTCAGAGCTGTGTCTTTAGTGTCACACCTTTTAGTTTCAAGATTAATGCTATCATTACACAACTTCCTCCAGCTGTTGCAAATGGGCTTTATGTTAACGACTTCCACATCTTGTGTTGGTCATCGAATATGAGGTTTATTGAGCAGCAGCTTCAGACTGCCCTCAATCACAGCAAATGGTTTTATCCTTTTCTTTTTCAAACCCGTTTGCATGCATTTTTGCCATCAGCAAGGTCTACACCCCGATTCTGAGGTCTGTCTTGGTGATGTTGTTCTTCCCGTGGTCCCTGAGGCAAAGTTCTTGGGGCTTATCTTTGACGACTTTCATTCCACACATCAAATAGCTATGATTCAAGTGTATGAGGGCACTGAACATCCTTCTATGCTCAAGATCTATCGTGCCCTCATTTGATCCAAACTGGACTATGGGTCTTTGGTCTATGACTCTGTCAGGACCTCGGCTGGATCCCATTCATCATCTGAGGCTTCGGGCTTTCCGTATTTCTCCAGTCCACAATTTGTACACTGTTTTCCACAAACCTCCTCTTCACCTCCATCATTTGCACTTTCCTCTACTGTATGCTACCAAGCTTTGATCCTTACCACAGCATCCTACCTGGGATTGTGTCTTTCTTCCTCGGTGAACGATGCTCTTTCAGAACAGAAAGCCTGCAACTCCCACCATTGGCCTTCGTATCCAGGCGCAGCCGGCTGACTTGGGTCTGACATTGGATGATGTTGCGGTCCCCAATGATCAATCCATTCTACCATGGCTTATTACCATCCCCAACTCTGACCTTTCCTTGAGTCATCTGAGAAAGGCAGATTCTCCTGATTGGAAGTACCATCTTCTCTTTGTGGAACATCTTTTGAACCATTCTTCTCTTCCCATTTACATTGATGGTTCAAAATCTGGTGACTCTGTAGGCTCTGCCATGGTTTGCTGTGGCTTGTTAGTTGCTCACAGGATCCCCTCTACAGTTTCTATGTTCACTGCCAACTTGTATGCTATTTGTCTTGCCCTGGATCATGTAGAAGCTATGCAGAACAGTAATTGTACTATTTACAATGATTCTCTTAGCTCTCTACTGGCCTTGGAATTGCTTAACGTTAGTTCTCACACTGTTCTTGTCGATATTCAACAACGACTGCCTCATTTATCTCTGTCTTCTGTTTCCATCCAGTTTTTCTGGATACCTGGCCATGTCTGTATTCGTGGGAAGGAGCTCACTGACACTGCAGCTAAGTCCGTCTACTCTGGAGCCGTCAAAACCATGCCTGTCCTATACATGGACTACGGTCCGGTATTCAAGGTTCGGCTTCTTGCCAGTCGACTTGGGGTGAGTAACATTATAACAAGATTTTTCAGATCAAACCTTCTGTTGCTCTTTGGCCGTCTTGTTTCCGTAAGGATCGGAAGGATAAGTTGTCCTGGCTAGGCTATGCATTGTTCACAGTTTTTTAACTCATCGTTTTCTTTTATCTGGTACTTACCCACCATTGTGTAGCCTTTGTGACACTCAAGTCACACTAGCCCACATTTTAATGTCTTGCCATCTTTACGACTGTGAGTGGCAGCACCATTTTAGACATATCTTTTCTCTGAGTTTATCACTGACGTTGGATGGTGTCATTAGCGATGGTGACACTGTTGAACTTGATTGTATTTTTAATTTTTTATGAGCAATTGGCCTTTTTAATTTTATTTAAATTTTTTTATCTGAATTTTGGACATATTTTAGTTTTATCTCGATTTATTCTTACATTTTATAACAATTTTACGTTCACTGGTTGTTTGGCACAGATAGATTAGTCGCTTTACACCATAAAATGCCAACCAACCTCATGGCTTTATCAAGAGTTAGACACCATTGAACACAAGCCCAGAACAAAGAGCTGATGTAATTCAAAATTACAATGTGTTCTTAAGTTTTGTTTGATATATTGCCACTTTATCAATAATAAGAAGGTACTATAATAAATGTATGATAAGAATATAAACACAGTGAATAAAATATTAATTGCACAGGCAAACTGTGAGTGTAATTATAACCACATATATAGACACTGTAAATTTTACTTGATTTTACTTGATTTGTAACTTATTGCCAGAAAAACAACTGTATCCCATGAAATCTAGGTCTTCTGAAGAAATGTATGATGAAAGACATAGTTTAAAATATCTTTTGTGATATCTCTAATGAAAGATATACTGATGAAATTGAGAGGCCTATAAAAGGGAATTCCATGCTATGTGGTGGGTGAGATTAATAGGAGTTTGGTTACAGAACATTTCATTACTGAGCATGCATGGATTGCCCAAATATGATCATTCTTTTGCATTAAATTAGAAAGAAAATGTCATGGTTTTCTGGACATAAAATATAAGGAATACATTCTCATTAGATCTTAGAAGCCTTCAGTTAGCAAGGATGCAGGGTGGCCACTTTAAGTGGTGGATTATATGGATTTTTTACTTGATTTGTACATTCTACAAATATATTTCATACCTGCTACACAAGTTATGGTACATTCTACAAATATATTTCATACCTGCTACACAAGTTATGGTACATTCTACAAATATATTTCATACCTGCTACACAAGTTATGGTACATTCTACATATTTCATACCTGCTACACAAGTTATGTACATTCTACAAATATATTTCATACCTGCTACACAAGTTATGGTACATTCTACAAATATATTTCATACCTGCTACACAAGTTATGGTACATTCTACAAATATATTTCATACCTGCTACACAAGTTATGGTACATTCTACAAATATATTTAATACATGCTACACAAGTTATGGTACA